AAAAAAATACTTTCTGTTAAAGAACAGGGCATTGATTTCAAACGTGTCCACTGTAGAGGACATCAGGACTAAAACCATGTTTATCAGGCATTCTGGGAGACACAACAAGTGAATATGGAGATAAATTATACATCAATATTCCTATGAAATATTAGATGATATTATTAAAATGTTGCCAATAATTACTCCAATTGTTACACTTCTTTTTTCATTAAATGTTGCTCCAAGAACACATTAATGTGCAAATTAGATACAGTGTATAGATACATTGCATTGAATGGGAATATTAATTTATGGCCATTTTACCCACATATTGCAAAAAGTAAAATGGTGTATCAATTCATTCCATTATTTCTTTCATAACATAGTTGAGAATAATCTTTATACAAATTTTGGTTGAAAAAATCCTGAAACCCCCAAATTTATTGGTGATTGAAAAAAAATCCCATTGTTTTTGCCTATACATATAATTTCATGTCATTTTATTTTTTCAACAACTTAGTCCTGGCGTCCACTACAGAGGACATAGCATAACGTATGAATAAAATATTATTTTATATATGTGTTTTTTTACCATTTGTTTATTGTGCTCTAAACAGTGTGATGACATGGAAAAAAACTAAATTCAAAAAACTTTTTTTTTCTGGGTCTCAGGAGGATAAATGTCTTTACTGTCATTTTTGATCAATTTAATGAGTGCTTGCATAAAAAATGTAACTGAACCCAAAGTTTTAATGTTCATTTTTGTACCGCTCAAAAAAAAAACCCACCTAGAAATCTCATAACTAAATAGTAGAAGCTCTTTGTGTCAGTCGGGGAACATCTTTTCATGCTGTTTTCATGTTGTTCGTTGTAAGGTTGGGATGCGTGATAAAGAGTGCATGAATAAGAATGCACTCGTTTACATTTTTGCCGTTTTACGGACAGTATTACTGAGCCCATGACCTTGTAAACCTTGTAAATCATTTCTATTAGGTTGTTTGCAGTATTTAAATCAGGTATTCTATTAATATTTTAATACAGAAGCCATTATGAGTGTTAATCAAGAAACTTTTGTGTGTGTGTAGATATCGAGGCCTCAGGGATGAGAAAGGACGGCAGACACAAGATTACTTTCATCTGCTGGCCATACGACTGAGTTTCGTCATTATATTCGAGGTGCACAGTCTAGCACTAGTTTGACCAAACACAATTTTGTAAACTTTGCACATACATTTGTTCTGATAATCATGGAAGATTGTTTCTGCCACTCAATACAAAATTTAAAAAAGGCAATTGTGAAAAAGGTCATTTTTAAAGTGTAAACACATGAGTCGGATATGGGTCACAATTGAAAACGTGTAAACGTACGACCGAGTTTATATCTCGCAATTCTGCTTTTCCCCCCCGCAACTCTGACTTTGTAACCCATTGCGACTTTATATCACACAATTTTGAGAAAAAAGTCAGAATTGTGAGATAAAAAGTCACAGTTACCTTTTTTATGTTGTATTTCGTGACGGAAACAAGCTTCCATGAGATACAGATGATTATAAATTGAATATAAAGTTGATGTTGGGTTTTCAGCATGTTGTCCTCATGATTGGACGGATTATTGACTGGATGGTGCCAGATATCCCAGAGGAGGTGGAAATTAAGATCAAAAGAGAGCATTACATGGCCAAAGAAGCACTGGCTGAGAATCAGGTGACTTTTATATCGACGAGTTATGACATTAAAATTAATATAATAATACTATTATAATTTATTCAATGTTGATTCCACTTTTAAGTGTGGGACGGCTGTTTTTCTCTGTTTTCTTAAACCTTGACTCTCCTGTCCTCCTTCAGTCTTTGAGTAAAACTGTCCTGGAGGAGGTGGAGAGGCAAACGTCCGAGCTGCGACGAAGAATACAGAGTCCTACAAACAGTATCTCCCCTTGCTCCAGTCCATCCCCTGAACACGAGGACAAACCTCCACCCTGACCGTCTGATATAGGCCTATGACCTACATGTGGCACTACAGTGAATAAATGTTTGTAAACTGTTGCCTATTCCTTGTCAATAGGCAACTACTTTTAATGCTGTCCTAAATAAAATACACAAGGATCAAATTAATGTGCCTTGCATTCATGTTGAAAATAATATACTGAATGTGTGTGTATTATATATAGGGTAACATGGGGTAAGATGATTTGTGCGTCTATTCGTTAATTTGTGGACACATAAATGTTTTCAGAACATGTAATAGTTTTTGATGTAATGATGTAATAGTTTTTATTTTGAAATAAAAAGATCAAATAATACCCTTGGGGTAAGATGGGCCACCATAATTGGCAGATAAGCCTCAGAGTGGCATGTTGTTAAAGTGTTGTTATTTTTAAATCGAATACTTATTGTAATAAATGGGGTTATTATTTAATTGTTTCATTGAATTGGATGTATATTTCAGACAGCTCCGCTTTCAGTCATTTACATTTTCTGTAAAAGTTTATCATGGGGATATAGGCTATATATATACAGTATATACACTCACCGGCCACTTTATTAGGTACACCTGTCCAACTGCTCGTTAACACTTAATTTCTAAGCAGCCAATCACATGGCGGCAACTCAGTGCATTTAGGCATGTAGACATGGTCAAGACAATCTCCTGCAGTTCAAACCGAGCATCAGTATGGGGAAGAAAGGTGATTTGAGTGACTTTGAACGTGGCATGATTGTTGGTGCCAGAAGGGCTGGTCTGAGTATTTCAGAAACTGCTAATCTACTGGGATTTTCACGCACAACCATCTCTAGGGTTTACAGAGAATGGTCCGAAAAAGAAAAAAAACATCCAGTGAGCGGCAGTTCTGTGGGCGGAAATGCCTTGTTAATGCCAGAGGTCAGAGGAGAATGGCCAGACTGGTTCGAGCTGATAGAAGGGCAACAGTGACTGAAATAACCACTCGTTACAACCGAGGTATGCAGCAAAGCATTTGTGAAGCCACAACACGCACAACCTTGAGGCGGATGGGCTACAACAGCAGAAGACTCCACCGGGTACCACTCATCTCCACTACAAATAGGAAAAAGAGGCTACAATTTGCAAGAGCTCACCAAAATTGAACAGTTGAAGACTGGAAAAATGTTGCCTGGTCTGATGAGTCTCGATTTCTGTTGAGACATTCAGATGTTAGAGTCAGAATTTGGCGTAAACAGAATGAGAACATGGAACCATCATGCCTTGTTACCACTGTGCAGGCTGGTGGTGGTGGTGTAATGGTGTGGGGGATGTTTTCCTGGCACACTTTAGGCCCCTTAGTGCCAATTGGGCATCGTTTAAATGCCAAGGCCTACCTGAGCATTGTTTCTAACCATGTCCATCCCTTTATGGCCACCATGTACCCATCCTCTGATGGCTACTTCCACCATGTCACAAAGCTCTAATCATTTCAAATTGGTTTCTTGAACATGACAATGAGTTCACTGTACTAAAATGGCCTCCACAGTCACCAGATCTCAACCCAATAGAGCATCTTTGGGATGTGGTGGAATGGGAGATTCGCATCATGGATGTGCAGCCGACAAATCTGCGGCAACTGTGTGATGCCATCATGTCAATATGGACCAAACTCCCTGAGGAATGCTTCCAGCACCTTGTTGAATCTATGCCACGAAGAATTGAGGCAGTTCTGAAGGCAAAAGGGGATCCAACCCGTTACTAGCATGGGGTACCTAATAAAGTGGCCGGTGAGTGTATATATATATATATAAAATAAATGTAATAATCTACAATATCCAAATATATATATATATATATATGTATATATTATTTATTTTATAATAAAAGAAAAACAAAAGGATAAATTTATTGGGGGGTTTTTTTTCATTAAAAAAAAATGTATGCATAGACATTTTCATGTATAAGAAATATATCCAAACATATTAAAAAGTGTAATAAAACTTCACCCCAAAAAATGAATTGAAGAAAAATGGAAGCAAATCATCATTCATAGCTGTAAACTAAACACGTTGGGCCATTAAAAAGGGGACCAAATCTAAATACCCAAACGTCATGTTACCAAAAAAAAAGTTAGTCGAGGAAAGAAACCTGCTTCAAGACATTTCACGGGGTCTTATGAACCTAAAATAAATTCATAAGAAGTGAATAAATAGTAAAGAAAAAAGTAACAAAAAATTGGAAGGGAATACATTTTTAGGAAATGGACGTAGCTATAGCCTACTAAAGCTGGTGTTTACATGCATACAACACACACACACACACACACACACACACATTAGATGTTTATTAAAGTGAGATTTTATGGCATGATGGACCATTACACACGCAAACGTACTTTCCCGTGAACAGTGAAGTACTTTTAGCATGTTGTGTGAACTGGAACACATCCGTTCCCATTTCATTGATGTGTGTAACAATAGTTCCCTCTGCTGGTCACAGGATCAACACTATAAGATCAGAATGAGAACCATTTCAACATTGTCAACATTTCTTTAAAACAAATAACTATTGATGATATGTTTTTCTATAGTTGCCTATTATTTTTAATAGTTGCCTAATTATATCCATCCATCCATCTGGTACCAAGCTAACTAGCACACAAGTTTTCAGTTTTTTAGATGCCATGGACCAACAAATATGATCAGCTGTGGTGCGATGGACCTCACATCCTAAACATTTCAATGCTGTGAAAATGAATATTATGAATATGCGTAAAATAGTTTTTGGAAAATATTTCGGTTCTCCTTTGCTAAATTATGTTTTTCTACTCACTATATTACTGTGCTGTACAGATGTATTAATTATCTCTTTTATTCGATTTACTTATTTGAATCAAAGTTGTATTATTGTATTACATATTTAGTTAGTTTAATCTCATTTTTGTATTTATTTGTTTTTACATTTTCACACTGTCGTGTTGAACTTTCGACTGATCCCCACTTGCGGCCGCTTGGGGGCATAGACAGTAAGTTTGGGGGTCCCCGCCCGGAAACCAGTTTGAAGTCCATAATAAAACCGAAGGACTTTTATTTTGGAATTTCGCTCTGACACTGACACGGCTTCACATGCGCGAGGAGGCGGGCGCAAAATTTCCCGGGATTTTGGGGCCTAGTCAGTAAGTAAGCAAGCAAGCAAGCAAGTAAGTAAGTGTGAATTGTAATATTTTTAATTGTTCTTTGACGGTCGCATTAATAAACCATATTACAACATAGACGTCACGTACTTTAAACAATCAAATGTTTAACTTTACTTTAATTTCACCCTCACAACAATCACTCACACTGCTAAAAAAAAAAAGTTGCTAGCAATCAGATGCGGGTTAGCATAATAACTTGTATAAAATAATCTACAGTTCATTTGGACGTATTCTGAATATATGTTTGATTGACAATAGTTTATAAAATAAGCCCTTTTGAATGTCTCGTGGTAAAATCCCCACTGGTTAATGTTGCTGAGGATGAACACATAACTATTTAACAACATAACTATTTGATACAGGCTAGTATCAAAACACTTGCAGGTTTGCGGATGCTTACTGAATAATTGATTTGTTGATATGAATAAGCACCTCATATGTAGTGTTTACATTAGATTCAATGTTATCTAATGCAGGGGGTCTCAACCTTTAGAGACCCATGAAAACAACATGTTTTATAAAGTTTCTCCGTACAAAACCTGCAGCTGTGCTTTGGTGGTGGAAACCCTGGATCTAATGTAGTGCATTTCAGGGTAATGCAGTGTTATGGATCAGGCTTTCACGTTGTTTCTGTCTTTCAGCTGACTGTCATATGCTGCTGTAGAAGCTGAGAGAGAGAGAGGATCATCATTGACTGACACAGCGAGGCCGGCCGCAGAATGCCGCCTGTGTCTGAAGTGGACACGGGTCCGGTTGAGGAAAGCTCCGGGGGTCTTGAGCGCTCAGACTGCCTCTGTCCGATCTGTCTGGACATATTCCTGGAGCCGGTCACTCTGCCCTGCACGCACACTTTCTGCAAACCCTGCTTTCTGGAAACCGTGGACAAGTCCAACATGTGCTGTCCGCTTTGCCGAAAGCGTGTGTCCACTTGGGCACGACTCAACGGCCGGAACAAGACCTTGGTCAACATTGAGCTGTGGAGACGCATACAGGACGCTTTCCCCGCCCAGTGCGAGCGGAGAGTGCAGGGAATCGATGATTGTGATGATGCTGGTATGTATGTGCTACATAACGGTTTCATGTTTATGCATATTGCATTGATTAATCACTTTCTCCCCCTCCCCAGTGCTGATTTCAAGACCTCGAGTATGTCAGCCAGGAGAGCTGAGGAAAGAGTACGAGGACCAGATCAGCAAGGTGAGAGATTCACGATGGTCTCGACTCTCTCTGTTAAGATGTGGTGGATTTTTAGCATGGCAGGTGGGCCTCCAAGAATGCACATTACAGACTGCAATCCCATGTTTACATTGTTGTTCTGCCAACAACACAATGGTTTTTGTTTGTGTGTCCTGTCCTGTCCTGTCCTGCTCGGAGCAGAATGCTGGTTCCAACATTTCTGCAATGGAATTTTTTTAAAGATCTGATTTTTTTTTTCTTCCCCCATGCACATAATATTTAGCTGTTCATACACATAATTACACTTAAGATGTATTATTAGTAGGGCTGGTTATCGATTTAGATGTTCAGATTCGATTCGATTTCCATTCTCAATTCGATTTCTGATTCGATTCTCGATTCAACTATAATAAATATAGATGTAATACAAATCCTATATTTATAAAAAAGAACAGTGGACTTAAGTTTACAAGTGGTTAATTAATACAAAGAAATTAAGAGCCACAAACCTGTATATAAAACTCTTTTTATTTTACACTAAATGCATACAATGACAATGTATAGGCAGGATTTTGATACAAGATGCAAAATTGATGCTGAAAATTGGACAAATCAGAACAGTCGCACGCCTTGATCAAACAGGATCAGGTTATTTTGTGTTTAAGATAGATAGATAAATAAATATTAGTTATCATTTTTTAGACATTTTTTTATTACAGTGATCTCACCTAAATGTTTGTTTTTACAATGGGGTAATTTTTTTTTGTTAAGAGTTTATGCAACACATGGAAGCTTGATTTCAATCTTTGAATTAAACTGAAAAAAGTAGCACAAATAAATACAATAGAATAAAAACACAAATAAAAAAGACTTTTGGGTAGGTCAGAAATACTACAGAAACTGAATAAAGTAATCCAATGTAAAATAACACTGGATAGTCTTTTAGTCCTGACTGAATTAAATACATAAGCTATTAATTCTGATTCCTTACAATTAATGCTGTATTATGTTGTTTTGACAACAAAATTAATGACAGACACATATGGCTGCGTTCACTTTAAGAACTAGTGCACGGATCCATTGCCGTTTCATTATAACGTTACTGTCTGTCACACGCGTTTTATGCTTATTTAAGACATAACCGACTGTCTTTACGAGGTTACTCACCAAGATCAGACTTCTGACATAATTTTGCGTGTTTTTAACTGTTAAAGCGATATAATCCACGAAAAAGAACTTTTGTTACTGGCGAGCTGTTTGTGAGGCGGATTTAGGCTTTACTGTATGTGCACGCAATGAAAAACATCTCGGAGAGTGTGCGAGCACTGAATAGTTTAAACTTGCTTGAATGTTTAAACTGGTAAAACTTAAAAAGACGTGAAAATGAAAAACGTTAGTTATGATGCAATGCTGGCCTGATTGTGCAAGTGAATATTCCGTCATGTCCCGACTCCTAAACACGAGTGTGTATCGACGCCTGCAGCGCTTGACGCTTGCCTTGTGCAGAGTGAGAAGACGCAGCACCACGAGCCCTGAATATGGAAAAAATCGATTTGTGGGCGTTGAGAATCGATTTTGAATCGACCACATTTTAAAAAAAGATTAATCGAAAAATCTATTTTTTTTGCCCAGCCCTAATTATTATTATTAGTATTATGAGGGGTGTAACAATATATCTGTCACAATATATCACAATAAAAAAATGCAACAATATGTATTAAGGGTGTCAGATCGAAATCGACCGAAATTAATTCACAATCTCGAACTTCGAATTAAAAAATTTAATCGTCGATGCTGCCACGCCCCCATGTCCGGTCGGCGTGCCAAGCGGGTAAAAAACACGCGTGTTGAAAAGCTGCGAGTCTATGGTCAACCTCCTCTAACTTAACTACAGCCATTCAAAAGATAGCATGACGACTGCAGATGCAGGACACCCATCGACAGAACTTGAACCCCCTCCTCTTTCATTGAAGTCGCAGCTGTGGAAGGTTTTTGGATTTCCAGTGAGTTATGTTGACAACGTTCGCGCTTCAAAAAAGCCATAGTTTACTTTGCAGACATCCCAAGTCTCGCGGAAGTTCCGGGAGTCTCCCGCATATTGATAGCGGCTCCCTGATCCCCGCAAATTAGTTCAAATCTCCCGGAATCTAGAGTGAGCGAGCAAGAGCGCGCATGCGAGACAGAAAAAACTGTGCTCCAAACTGTATAGCACGCGCACGGGAGAGAGCGAGAGACCTTGTTCGTGTGCCTCATGAAGCGCATGTAAGACACAGAGCATCCTGATAGGCCGGTTTCGGCTTTAAAAAAATAAATGTAAAAATCAAGAATCGAATGGAACCGTGACCTTAGAATCGAAAATGTAATCGAATCGAGGATTTGGAGTATCGTGACACCCCTAATATGTGTCGTGGATAGTGACAATATGTATTGTGTATATTTCACCCAAAATTAAAATGACTGTGTGGCAACAAATTTAAGTTTACAAAATGTTAGTGTCATTACTACATAAAACCTATATATAATGTTGAATATAATGTATAACAATGCAATTGGGGAATATTTGATATTTGCCGGTCCTGATAATGTCAAATGTCTCATGTTATCCGTAAAAGGTGGCCTACGTTATTTTGAATATAATAAAGCATATCCGTCTAAAATAATTCTGTATTTCAACTTGCAAAAAACATTTGCGGCCAAGGTACTTGAGTTTAGAAAAAATGTAAAAAGCCTTTATTTATTTATTTATTTATTTATTCATTACTATAACATTTTAAAAACATTCACATACATTTTGCAATCGACTAGTCTAACACCCCCCCCCCCCCCCCCCCTCTCATACTGAATGCCACTAACAACTTCTGCTGTAGAAATACACTTTTTAAAACATAATATTAAGTCTCATTTTTAAAATGCTTAACATGACTAATTTAAACATGGCTTTTGTAAAAAATATAAGGTAAAACATGTAAACTGTATAAAAAATGCAGCTAAATGCCTAGTATTTCCATTAGCTGCTGCAGTATCGCTAGTGGAAGAGTCTCACACATCCCTAGTATGCACATTGTCCATTTAGTGCAAATAAAATCATAATTTGTTATTGATGTTTTGTTGTTGTGAAGGCTGGCTGGCTGTCATCATCTGGTCTCTTGTTTTGAACAGCTCGTGGAGGAGAAGCGAGCTCTGGAGGAAGCCGAGCGGAGAGCCAGTGAGGAGTACATCCAGCGCCTCCTGGCCGAGGAGGAGGAGCGTATGGCGGAGGAGAGGAGGAGGCATGAAGAGCAACAGCTGGAGAACGATGAGAAACTGGCCAGACTGCTCAGCCAAGAGCTGGTGAGGTCACACATCAGAGGTCGGGAGACGCGGTCAATGACATGCACTGTCAGAAAACTGACATGTCAAAACAACTATACAATCTGACCACAGACGTTTGGACTGTCTGAGCATAACAGGAGGACGTGTAAATAATCTCATTCTGTGTCCCTCATGTTGAAGCATTGACTGCATTTGTCAATCTCAGCCTTAAAGGATTAGGTCACCTCAAAAGGAAAATGACTTCTTTAGGATTAGTTCACCTCAAAATGGCGGTACTTCCGCCAGCGTGACGACATAATGCCTGGCGCGTCGCAGACCAGCACAAGACGAACAATTGTGGTAAAAAAGTATATATATATATATATATTTTTTTTTTTCCGTTCGTTTTCGTGAAACCACGTGATCGGGACCGATTTCCGATCGCGTGATCGGATCGGAACATCCCTACTTATAATTTATGCGAATATAAGTTCATCAGTAGTATCAACAAATTAATATTGGACGCCAAACTAGCTAAACCCTACTGAGTGTGCATTTTTTTCTTATTTTACTCATTCTTAAAACTTAATAAAATGTTTTTATTTTATTTTTTTTATTAAATTTCAAGTATAATGCTATTTTTATGGTTCCTAATTTTGTTTTGGAGTCTCCTGCAATAGGTTTACATGCATCACAGGTCAAAAACCACTTTTTTGATCAAGGATTCAGTCTCTAAACCCCTTTCTTCTGAGAGCCTACTCAGCTCTGATTGCTCAGATACTCACAACCGGCGCAACATCATGAATGTCTCTGAACAGATTCACGCCCACTTTTAGGGGAAAATAAACTAGACTTCCCATAGACTTCAATGCAAAATAGCGTCACAAAACAACGTCTGTACACAGCCGACAGGTGTGAATATCTTAATAAATCACTAAGGGTGCTTTCACATCTGTAGTTCGGTTCATTTGGTTCGGACTAAGGGCGAAAGATTATACTTTGTATCATTTTCAGGCGTTTTGGTTCCTTTTCACACCACAGTGATTGCTCTGGTCCGAATCAGTTGATGAGTTGAACCAAAATGCAGTCACGTGACAACATCCACATCACTCGTTGGCCAGATGTGTCTTGAACATATTTCCACACCTGCACTTCGATTGGTCAGAATTAACAAGCGGGAAAATTCCAACAGAACTCCCGGAAGTAAACAAAGAGGAGGAAGATCCGGCAGACATGCGGAGAATTCGCTCACAATGTATGTTCAGAATCAGCACGAGCTTTATCCTTTCTCAAATCCCCCCATAAACAACAAAGTCTAGACGAGATATAAATAAGAGATTCACTGTGCAGTGCGGACCCCTTCAGTGTTTATGATGAGAGTTGAGTGCAGAAGTCAGTCATGGCTTAAAGGGAGCGCTATTGACAATCTAAATAATAGTTTTGTTTGACTACGGCAGCTGGTTTAGTCCAAAAATGCACAGTTCTTTGGCAGTTGGGTCTGTTCGAGGTCGGATCACGTTCACACCGCAAACGAACCGCTCCAGAGTTCGATGAGGTCTCCGTACGCTTATTTGGTCCGCTTTTGGTGCGCACCCGAGTGCGATTGCTGCTTTCACACCTGCCCGAACGAACCGCACCAAGGGGGAAAACGAACTATAGTGCGATTCAACCCAACTAAATGAGGCAGGTGTGAAAGCACCCTAAGATTAAAGGGTTGTTACACCTCCCAGAGTTTGACTCTGGGAGAATGAAGGGACATGTTTTTAAATTAACCAAATTAAGTTTGTTGATATATCTTTCATGCTTTATGGCAGGCAGGGTGGACATATAATTACTTGACATGTTTAATTTAAGTGATTTCTTAAGATATTTATTCACGCCTGTCGGCTGTGTACGGAGCGGACATTGTTTTGTGACGGTATTTTGTATTGAAGTCTATGGGAAGTCTAGTTTATTTTCCCCTAAAAAGGGGCAGTGACGAAATTGACAGTTAAGTTCCCAGATGTGCCGGGAGTACGTATGGCCCAGTCTGTAGTGATTGGTCTACTCTGATCTGATTGGTCAGATGGCCCAGTCTGTAGTGATTGGTCTACTCTGCTCTGATTGGTCAGACGACCCAGTCTGTTGTGATTGGTCTACTCTGATCTGATTGGTCAGATGGCCCAGTCTGTAGTGATTGGTCTACTCTGATCTGATTGGTCAGATGGCCCAGTCTGTAGTGATTGGTCTACTCTGATCTGATTGGTCAGATGGCCCAGTCTGTTGTGATTGGTCTACTCTGATCTGATTGGTCAGATGGCCCAGTCTGTTGTGATTGGTCGACCGCTTACATCTTGTGTTGGAAATGAAACGTGCATTATCATATTTGAATTTCAGCACTTGATACAGTGATATGAACAGTAATGATGGCGTCAGTTTTACCTACAGGGTGGCCGCGGGTCCTTAAAAAGTCTTAAAATGTCTTAAATAAAGTTTTCCTAATAAAAGGCCTTAAAAAGTATTAAAATGTCTTAAATTCAGATTCTATGGGTCTTAAATATTTCTGGTCAAATTACCGCAAAAATTTCTCCAGTCTGACGGACCCAATGTCCGTCTAATAACCAGTGAAGCATCGAATCGTGAGAATGATTCTGATTTTATTACATAAACAGTGATTGATAATGTAGGACTCGACATTAACGCTTGTCCGCCTGATGAGAACATCAACAGAAACAAAAATAACTAGGGAATGACTAAACCGAGAGAATGATTCTGATTTTATTACTTTTATTGTAAGTTGCGATCGATTGTGGATAATAAATGTATTACTGACGGTAAGGTTGCGCTGTTGACGCTCGCGCAGCCTCTCGAGGAGAAATCTACACAAATGAGCGCAACACACACACTCATTTAACAACATACTGCCAATAATAAATCTAAATGTGGAGTTTTATATGTTTAACATATGTTAAGCAAACTGAATTATTTTTCCTGAATACCATCACGATTGAAAATGTGACATTGATTTCCTACAACAGTTCAATAAACAGTTAAAATTAAGTCACTTACATTTTAGATGAAATATTGGCTGTTTTTGTTCTGTTTCAGCAGCGAAAATAGTTCCAAACAAAAATCACAGCAGAACCACGGCGCATCTCACAGGAACACTCGACCTGTTTTCATTACTGAATGATTCAGCATTTTGAACGAATCGATTGAGTCAAAGATTCAATGACCCATACATAAACATCTGTCTCATTCTTGAATGAATCAACCGTTTAAACGAATCGTTTGTATGAATGAATCAATGACTAAATGACTCACTCATTAAGACGGTCGCCTGCCGCCACCTACTGGCGGTTTAGTGTTATGTTTAAAAGTAGTATCATTCTTTCCAACGTTTCTTATTTGTATATTTAAATCAATTTCATAACATTATTTTATGCAATTGTAATTTTTCAGTGTAAATGATTTAATTTGATCAGCCCTACCTAGGGTAACAGCCCTATAGTGTCTTATTATTCTAAATAATTTAATTTATTGATCAAATTTAGGAATTTAAAATTTGCCCTTTAAAGGTGCAGATATTAAAATATGCCGATTTAAATATCAAAGCTGATTGAACACTGAGAATATTGCTTCAGAATAAATTAAAAAAAAAAAAAAAAAAATCCGGACAAAGCAACTTTTTTACTCGGACAAGTGAATTGTCAAAAGGACAAGCACATGAAAAGGCTTAATGTCGAGCCCTGTAATGTATTTCTGCAGCGCTGTTGAGACTCACGCTGCCTGTCTGTGTGAGAGATTTTAAAGTGAGAAATCAAAACTAATGTGCATAACAGCACATAAAAAAACTCAAAGAAGAAACATACTGAGGTAAAAATAAAAAATGTTGAGTTTTTTTATTTATAACATATGATATAGTTTTTTTATTTTTTTTTATCATAAGATATAGTTAAGTAACATGACAGGAGCTATTTTGCTGAATATTCTCACGATTGCAAATGTTACATTGATTTTAGTTCAATAAACAAGTAGTTAATATTAAATTACTTCAATTGCTTAGGTTAAACATTAAATATTACATATACGTATGTAAAATAATGTGTATTTCCATCACAGGTTTGGTCTTAAATTTCATTCAAAGTGGCATTAAAAAGGTCTTAAAAAGTCTTAAATTTAACTTGTTTATATCTGTAGACACCCTGACCTAGTGCCGGGCGGTATAACCAAAAATCCATAGCACGGTATTTTTCAAAATTATACCGGTTTCACGGTATGTGACGGTATTTTTTTAACCACATTTTCTACTGATTGAGAGAGGAAATACTGCAGTAGATTGGTTTACAATGCCCTATTTTACTGTCATGAGTGAATATTGTAAAAAAAAAAAAAATCCACACTAGTATTAATACAGGTTTGCAAGGCTGTTTACAAAGAGGTCCAGCAGGAGGCGCTGTAGGAGCGGCAGAAACAGCGGTTTCCCCGATAACGGCTGAACACAAAGCAGTTTCCCCGGTAACGGCTGAACACAAAGCAGTTTCCCCGGTAACGGCTGAACACAAAGCAGCGCAGCGCCCATAAACGCTGCTTTATCAGGAACGATAAAGAAAGATTCAATTGAAATAACACCGAAACTTTTCTAAAGACCTTCAGTTCACTTCAGATACATTCATATTAAAAACACCCACCCCGCGTTTTGACTTTGAAACATGCAGTGCTCATCTTTTTTTAGCGATGTATACCGGTGTACGGCTCAGCACTAGTTTTACCGTATCAATACCGTATCAAGTCCACGTCCTTCTGAAGTGCTCCAAAGTCGATTTGCTTTCAGAAAAAGCGTCTTGTCATTTCAACAACACAATTCTTCAAGGCCTCAACTACACCTACAATGTTTGATGGTGAAAGTAGACATTGTTCACAGGCAGGCATTATGTAAATTTGTTACAAACCTACATAGTTTTAGTTGAAAGCAAGACTGGAATTACTGATGACTCATTTTAGCCAGTTCAGAATTGGTTCTTTATTTTGAGAAGAAATCGCCGCAATCAGGGATGATGTAATGCTGTTTTGTGATGTTTTTGCAGAATTCAGGACCGATCTCTGAATCACCGTGGCTCATCAAACCTACTGATGCGACGCCAGCTAAGAAAACAAAACCAAAGGGGGACATTGAGAAGTGAGTAATATCAGTAATACAACTGGTCTTTTCAGGCCTGATTATTGTTGAAAGTATTGAAAGACCACAAAGAAAGAGTTTTTCTAATGCACTCCATTCTCTTATATGTCAGGTTTTTGCGTCCAGTGCCTCATAAACCGCCGAGCAGTTCGGACAGCAGCCCAGACTCCTCTCTGATGGCTAATAAGGTGATTTTAAAGATGCTTTGATTGTCTTCTCCTCTCAGAAATGAAATCATTACAAAGGAAATGATGTCTTTGAGATCATACATGCCACGTGTATCAGTTGCAATTTTAGTGAAGAGAACATTTTACTTAAAGCCTGTTTTCTACTTTAATGTTTTAAAATATACATTTTTCCTGTGATAGCAAAGCTGTATTTTCAGCATCATTACTCCAGTCTTCAGTGTCACATGATCCTTCAGAAATCATTCTAATATGCGGATTTGATGCTCAAGAAACATTTATTATTATTACCAATGTTGAAAACAGTTAATATGCGTGGATACTTTTTTTCCAGGAGTCTTTGATGAAAATATTGTGTAACATTATTGATGTCTTCACTGACACTAGGGATGCACCACATTTTTCCAGATTCAGATTCCTCATCCCTAGCTGTCACTTAAAAAAAAACTTGATCCAAACCATTTGTAGTACTAGTGCATGTGCAAAGTTAATACATGCTTAGTAGAAGATAAAACACATAGTTGCATAGTTTAATTTTAAAGATTATAAATGTTTGTTTTTTCAGGAGAACATTCTGAGCCCTCCAAAACCCCTCACAGCACCATCTGTGGAGGACACGGTTAAACAGGCCGTGCCTGTGCCGGACTACAACGGGAAACCCTCCACCTCCAGCTTCAATCCCAGCTGCCCAGAACACACTTCTGTTTTAAACAGTCCTAACAGCAGCTCTTCGAAAAGGAAGAGCTCAGACGTGGAGCTTCAGAGTGAAGCGGATCTACACACTAAGAGGCCGTGTTCTTCTCCGTGGTGTGAATCTCCCTTCTCAGCCGACAGCCCTTTTCTGTCTGAGTTGGCGTGGCACGAGGAGACCTTACGGAGTCGCTGGCACCAGGAAGAGGAGGACCGAAGAATGGCGATGCAACTTCAGAGAGACCTGAACCGCCAGATCGCCGTGGACCGCAGGAAGGGTTCAGCCGACGGCTATCACCTCCGGCAAAAAAGCACTACAGCTTCCACAAGTACAAACCCAGATGAGGAGAGCACGATAAAGAACATTAGTACGCCGCGGTCGACCGCGAGGAACAGCGCGGGATGCAGGGACGAGGGGAAAACTGAAAAGAGACTGTCTGGAACAGTGGGAGCGACCCCTGGGAAGAGCCCCGCGTCTTCTCCTTCAACGGCGGTCCTGGCTAGCTTGAAGAAGGGGGCGAAGCAGACCACCCTTACGGAGATGTTCCCCAACATGAGCAGCTGAACGACCCTTGCGCTGCTCTGATCTGCTTTCTCAAACGCCCCACAGACTCGAAGCGGATGTTAGCAGGTGCCGCGCTGCTACTAGAGGGCGTCGCGCATCTCGTTCGGGTTCCGCTCATATCTCAAGTTGCTAATACTCCCTCAGTGCCTTTCCAGAGAGGTTCATACTGTAAAGTCGTGACGGTTTTGGAATGGCTTTCGTTTTATAAGCGTTTATAAAGTCATGACTAGCTTAGGGATTGAAAGCGTCTGAGTGCTGCAGAAGAAACTCCTTTTGTAAGCATTTGCGGGCATTTTCAATTTGATCAAAATAAAGAAAAGATTACTTTACGGAACTCTGTTTTTGTTGTCGTCTGGTTATTTGGCAAGCAAAAAGCTAAAGGCAACGACCTAAAGTATTCCTTGTGGTTATTACACACAATAAATACATATTTAGGCCTAAATGTAAGATTTATATATTTTAATTTCATATCAAATTTCAATCTATTTTGGGTTACGGCGTTTTAACATAAACCAATAGACTTAAAGTGATCCATATTTATTAGTAATACATACATTAAACCTGAAAGAAACCCATAAGATTTTTGCACTCCAAAAAATAAACAAATTTGGTTGTATTTATATAATCATATTTTCAAAATGCATTTAATCAAATTGCTTAGAATCAGCATAACTCTATGGGAGCTTGTTTCCGTTACGGAATAAAAAAGATACAAAATTGTGCGTTTGCTTTATATCACAGAACTCGCAATTGCAGGGAAAAAGTCAGAATTGTGAGTTTATATCTTGTTTGGTCAGAATCGTGACATTACAGCTCACAATTGCGAGGTTATAAATCTAAATTGTGAGATATAAAGTTGCAGCTGCGAGAAAAAAAGGTCCGAATTGTGAGATGAAATGTGTCAATTACCTTTTTTATATTTTAATCCTGTGGCAGAAAAAAGCTTCCATATAAATACATTTATTCAGTTAAAAAGTATGAACCATTAAAATATGATTAGTTGTGAAATTGTATGAGATTGAAACAAACTGGACTGATTGATAAATATATTAAACCTGATTAGTATGTAATTAAAACACATTCAGTTCATTACTTTGACTGACATGTCACATTAAGTTTATAAGTTTAACTAATCCAAATGCATGGACATTTTATATATAATTCAAATACACACCTTAAATTTAGGTTGATATATATATATTTTTTTCAGATCGAAATAATTTATAACATTTATACATTTATGTATGAATGCTAATGTGACACTTCTGTCTTAAATGGGAAAGCGTTGGCATAACGTCTGATCTGCATTGTCATGACTGAGTGCTTTTTTCTCTCTCTACATAAGGATTGCTAAAGCACTGCATTTTGAGAAGTGTTATCGTCGGAAATGTCATGTGAAATATGGGACAAAGTCTGTCACATGATCAGTGAAGCAGACTGTCGAAGTATGCTCGGTCTTGCCTGTTATGGTCTTTTAGCATTTCCCATATTGTTGGTTTGAAGTTGGTTGCCGCACTTCCCATTTGAGTCTTGCATGAGTAATATTCCTCACTTAATTCTGTCAAAATCCCCCCCCCCCCCCCCCAGGACTTTATAGAACGGAGTAATATCCCAAATTAGCCAATCAACTCTACACGGTGATTTGAATGGATTCTATTTAAAGTGTGCAGCGATATTTGCTTGGTAAAGGTGAAGTCAGCAAATTGAACTGAAATAAAGTACTTGATCAAATGAATGCAACCTTGGTGAACATAAGAGAATTATTTTAAAAATGACCTCAAACTTAAATGATAATTATTCACAATGAGAATAAGTAAATCGGGTTTGTTTTGATCTCATGCCGACTTGAGGTATTAGCCATTTAACAACCACATGTTTTATAGAGTGAATATTGAAAGAGGAACATGTTCCCTTATGGTGTCAACCTAAAGTTGTGGTTAAAAAGTTAGGAGAATATGATTTCTTTCAAGTTCAGTAGTTACTTTTTCAAATAAAATGATTAAACATTGTAATAACTCTGCAGTTGCTGGTTTGACCGGCACAAAAATCCCCTGGCCGAAAGCCTGATTCATGAAGTGTCTTGTGAGCTCGCTGACTGTGACATGCAACAGGACTGCATCATAGGTTGGTCATACAGTTCACTTCCAGTTGTTGCACACAACCACTGAGGAACAGCGTCTCGGATATCAGGTCATGTCAAAGAAAGATTACAACATAGAGTCCTTCTATGGGTCCTTCAAACTGACTTGCGGAAAGCAACATAAACGATTGTGATGCAATCGTGCGAATATTATTGTGCATACGTGACAAACTGCGCATTCAAACCCAAGCAAGAACATTCGGCGTGCATTACAGTGAATAGGGAATTTTATGGTGCTCAATTATATTTATGTAATAGTTATGATCCATTTCTTACCTGTTAATCACTGTTTGAGCACGGACCTGAAAATGACATTTCCAACTTAAACTTTCGTAAATCTTGAATGTTTTGGAGCACAGACTTAAGTTTCGCCTGTTTTAAAAGCAGACACTTGGCAGAATATTGCTGAAGTGATTTTTTTTTTTTTTTACACTTAAAGGTGCTATATGTATTTTTTAGCAGCCTCTATCGGTACCGGCCACACTGAGACTTTCAACACATCGGAGAAAGCATCACACAACATGCTGGAAACTCATGTAAACTCCCACTGCAACTTTACAATAATAGGCTACTTTTATCAGCTTGACATTGAACTAATGCTCCATGCTCGTACCATGATAACGTTACATTGACTGCTTTTAGCCGACATCTGGTGTTAGCATAATGCATTTCCCCAAACTATTCGTGCATCTTTCACACTCCGCAATGTCAATAGGTGAATGTATAATATGATAACGAAAACGGTTAGTGAACTAGACTGAACAATTTCAGTGTAACAGTAAGATCGTAGGAAGGAACATTACTGTACTGAACATGTCTGGAAATTATATAGTAGTTTGATGAGTGACGTTAGACAGTAGATCTAGTACATACAATAAAAGTTACATCCTAAAGCACCTACTTTTTGTTATCCTGGAACAGTCTTTTGTATTCATTTCAAGTCTCATGTATGTTGTAGTTTACCTTGCCATTTCATTACAGTTTACCATTATTTCAGCATATCTGAAAACTTGTAATTTATCACAATAAAAATAGCGGAGGTCTCTCCATAATTCAAACGCTCTGCCGATGTTGATCTGTCTTTTCGTCCTAAATCGATCCGATTCACGTTTGGCCTGACGAGCTTCAGCAGATATATTTTTGTTTTGTTTTTTATATTTATGTGGAGTTTGTGTTGGAGTGTGTGTTGTGCTGGAGGCAGGTCGTGTTTGGGTGTTATCAGACTCCATGTCGTCAGCTGCAGTGCCGTCACATAGACTGTATATAAAAAGGAGAGAGGCTCGGGAGCGCGCATGCACGTCACATCCGATGGATTTCGCAGAAAATCCGACCCGGAGACTTCACATAGAAATAGGAATACTGGCCTTCAGAGGTAATAGCAAAACCCGGCAAGTGGATCATTGTAATGTGTGATTACAACCCCTTCACACACAGGCAATAAAAAAAAGGATTCATTTTAGAAGAAAAGTTACATTTAGTACCTTTAAAAAAGTTAAAGAATTCTTTTTTATTGTTATGAAAAAAGCACAAAATATACAGGTGAAACTCGAAAAATTTGAATATCATTTATTCATTTATAAGTTCATTTATTTCAGCAATTCAACTTAAAAGGTGAAACTAATATATTCTCATTACATGCAAAGTGAGATATTTCAAGCCTTTATTTTTTTATAATTTTGGCTTATTTTTTGGATTATGGCTTACAGCTATGAAACCCCCATATTCAAAATAAGAATATTACATGAAATCAATAAAAAAAAGGATTTTAAATACAGAAATGTCGGCCCTCTGAAAAGTATAATCATGCATATGTACTCAGTATTAGGTTTGGGCCTCTTGCATGAATTACTGTCACAATGTGGCGTGGCATGTATGTTACGTACATATCAGCAACATATTCTGATTTTTTGAGTTTCATCTGTATATCTTCTAAAACACACTATGCTCTAAAACTGCAAGAAAATCAAAGCCAAAAATCTAGACAAGTTGTGTTTCAAATTTGAGCTTGATTTCTCAAATAATTTGCTTTCAGTAAGAATTTGTTTGGCTGCAGTACCAAAAGTTTCCACTAGATGAAATTAGCTTTGTGTTTATAAAAAAAAAAAAAAAAAAAAAACATAACATTTTGCTTCAGAAGCCATCGCTTGTGGGAAAAAAAGTACAGTACACTTTAAGTGTACTCTGTTTAAGTGGCCTTTTATTTAATTAATATTATATTATATGCTATTAAGTTTTTTTTTTTTAAATTAGCACACATATTGTTTACATCGTACTATTGAAAAAGTATTATAGCATGTATAAATTAGCCACATTCTCTTCCAAGTCTTTCACTGTAATACCGGAACTTTATTTTTTATTTTTTTTATTTTTTTTAAGAAAAGGAAGTACAAGTGAAATTGTTTTTGTGGTAGGCTACTCAACATTACGCAATAATATGACAGTACTTATTATCAGTCTGTAATCCATTGTTACGTGTCTTCCTCTATTCTCTCTGCTTTATTTCACTTCTGCAGTGTTCACTGAATCACTGTCATACAGTATCTTATATTTTTATATAAACAAATCAGTGTTTGGCTGTCATTGGATAAGGTTTAATTTGTTAATATTAGTATTAATTACCATAAACTAACAATGAACTACTTCTACAGCATTTATTAATCTCAGTTAATGTTAATTTCTACATTTACAAATACACTATATCATTAAAAGTTGTATTTTTTAACATTAGTTAATGCTCTGTGAACTGTAGCATGAACATGAACAGTTTTAATAAATAAAATTAACGAATCTTAAGAAATTCTGTAAAAATACACTGAACAAAATTATAAACGCAACACTTTTGTTTTTGCCCCCATTTTTCATGAGCTGAACTCAAAGATCTAAGACTTTTTCTATGTACACAAAAGGCCTATTTCTCTCAAATATTGTTCACAAATCTGTCTAAATCTGTGTTAGTGAGCACTTCTCCTTTGCCGAGATAATCCATCCACCTCACAGGTGTGGCATATCAAGATGCTGATTAGACAGCATGATTATTGCACAGGTGTGCCTTAGGCTGGCCACAATAAAAGGCCACTCTAAAATGTGCAGTTTTATCACACAGCACAATGCCACAGATGTCGCAAGTTTTGAGGGAGCGTGCAGTTGGCATGCTGACTGCAGGAATGTCCACCAGAGCTGTTGCCAGTAAATTGAATTTTCATTTCTCTACCATAAGCCGTCTCCAAAGGCGTTTCAGAGAATTTGGTACATCTAAACCGGTCTCACAACCGCAGACCACGTGTAACCACACCAGCGCAGGACCTCCACATCCAGCATCTTCACGGGTGGCGGGCAAATCTGAATCTGGCCCAGGACGGGCCACCCTCCCTGGGCTGGCCAGGGAGGTCTGAGAGCATGGAGCTTTGAGGCCACCGCAACTTTTTGGACTCTGTCATTTTTCGAGATCTAGGCTTCAGAGTCAAGCCCAGGGTCAATTTCAACACGGGCTTTGGTCATTATTCAAGATCGTCTGAGACCAGCCACCCGGACAGCTGCTGCAACAATCGGTTTGCATAACCAAAGAATTTCTGCATAAACTGTCAAACCGTCTCAGGGAAGCTCATCTGCATGCTCGTCGTCCTCATCGGGGTCTCGACCTGACTGCAGTTCGTCGTCGTAACAGACTTGGGAGTGGGGCAAATGCTCACATTCGATGGCGTCTGGCACTTTGGAGAGGTGTTCTCTTCACGGATGAATCCCGGCTGTCACTGTACAGGGCAGATGGCAGACAGCGTGTATGGCATCATGTGGGTGAGCGGTTTGCCGGTCTAAATGAGTCTACTCCGCCAGGATACTGTTATAAGCATGAGCCCCGTCTGATCGGTCGTGGCGGCGGTGTTGCAACAATCTATAGAGATATTCTTAATGTTTTTTAGAAAACAGGTCACAGGTTTAATTCGTTTGAAGTACTTGTGCTAAATGTTACGCTCTTAGATGTAAGAAAGAAATCCCTATTATCTCTAGCCCTGGCTACTGTATATAGACCGCCAAGGCCCTACACTGATTTCCTAAAAGAGTTTGCAGACTTTCTCTCAGATCTATTGGTCAATGCCGATAAAGCAATAATTGTTGGAGATTTTAACATACACGTAGATAAAACAAATGATGCGTTAGGGACTGCGTTTACAGATTTATTAAACTCCTTTGGGGTCAAGCAAAACGTCAGTGGTCCCACTCATCGTCTAAATCATACACAAGATTTAATTATATCATACGGAACCAATCCAACCGATATAGATATTATACCGCAAAGTGACGATCTCACTGATCATTGCATGGTAACGTGCATAATACGTACTGCTGAAATTTTTCATGTTGCGCCACGTTATCGACCAGGCAGAACAATCCTTCCAATCACTATAGATAGATTCTCAAATAGCTTACCTGATCTATCTCAGCTGCTCAGTGAACCCAAACAAACAGATGAACTAGAGGAAATGACCAGCAGTTTGAGCACCATTTTCTCTAGTACATTAGATATTGTTGCACCAATTAGATTGAAAAAGGTTAGAGAGAAAACTAAAGCACCATGGTACAATAGTACTACATATGCTATCAAGAGAGAAACTCGTAACTTAGAGCGTAAATGGAAACAAACTAATTTAGAGGTCTTTAGAATCGCGTGGAAAGACAGTGTGTCACGTTATAAAAAGGCTCTAAAAGCAGCCAGGGCTGAGCATCTCCGCAAACTAATAGAAAATAACAAAAATAATCCAAGGTTTTTATTTACACCGTGGCTAGACTAACAAATAAACAGACATCGCCAGAGCAAAATATTCCGTTACAGTATAGTTGTAATGATTTTATGAATTACTTCAATGAGAAAATAGAAAGCATCCGAAATACAATTGTAAATGTACAATCCTCTATGGTGTCTTATGATTCAGCCTCAATTATCGCCCCTCAAGAACAACTACACCGCTTTACAACTGTAGGACAGGAAGAGCTAAATAAACTTATCATTGCATCTAAACCAACAACATGTTTATTGGATCCAATACCCACTAAACTACTGAAAGAAGTGTTACCTGTAGTGGAAGAGCCTCTTCTCAATATTATTAACTCGTCTTTATTCTTAGGTCATGTTCCAAAAATATTCAAGCTGGCAGTAATAAAACCTCTTATTAAGAAACCGCAATTAGATCAAAATAACTTAGCAAATTACAGACCCATTTCAAATCTTCCATTTATGTCTAAAATACTAGAAAAAATTGTGTCCGCTCAATTGTGCTCTTTCTTGCAAGAAAATGAGATATATGAAAAATTTCAGTCAGGATTCAGACCGCATCATAGCACAGAAACTGCGCTAGTTAAAATTACAAATGATTTAACCTCCTTCTGGCTTCTGACCAAGGCTGTATCTCAATACTAGTTCTACTCGATCTTAGCGCTGCGTTCGACACTATAGATCACAAAATACTCTTGGATCGACTACAAAACTACACTGGTGTTCAGGGACAGGCATTAAGCTGGTTCAGATCGTACTTATCGGACCGTTACCATTTTGTCTGTTTAAATGGGGAAAAATCGAAGATAACGTCAGTAGACTATGGAGTGCCGCAAGGATCGGTGTTAGGCCCTCTGCTATTCTCAATATATATGCTGCCACTTGGTAATATTATAAGAAAACATGGAATTAATTTCCACTGCTATGCTGATGACACTCAATTATATATTTCATCACGACCAGATGAAAACACTAACTTATCTAAATTGACAGAATGTCTTAAAGATATAAAATGCTGGATGACGTGTAATTTCCTGCTATTAAATCCAGATAAAACGGAGGTATTACTTATTGGTCCAAAAAACTACCCACAAAATCTCTTACAATACAACTTTAATTTAGAAGGATGTCCTGTTACCTTATCGACTACAGTAAAAGACCTGGGTGTTATACTAGACCGCAACTTGTCTTTCGAAAATCATATTTCATATGTTACAAGAACTGCCTTTTTCCACCTTAGAAACATTGCTAAATTACGTAACATGCCATCTGTTTCTGATGCAGAAAAGTTAGTTCATGCATTCATGACCTCGAGACTAGATTACTGTAATGCTTTATTAGCTGGTTGTCCTGCATCTTCAATAAACAAGCTACAGTTAGTGCAAAATGCAGCCGCTAGAGTTCTTACTAGGTCAAGAAAATATGATCATATAACACCGATTTTATCATCTCTGCACTGGTTACCTATTAAGTTCCGTATCAATTACAAAGTACTACTACTGACCTATAAAGCCCTAAATGGTTTAGCTCCTGTGTATTTAATGGACCTTCTATCGCCCTACAATCCATCGCGCTCTTTAAGATCACTAAATTCGAGGCTTCTGGTCATTCCTAGGATATCTAAGTCCACTAAAGGAGGGAGGGCGTTCTCACATTTAGCTCCTAAACTCTGGAATAGCCTTCCTGAAACTGTTCGTTGCTCAGACTCGCTCTCCCAGTTCAAAACTAGATTAAAGACGCATCTCTTCAGCCAAGCATTCACATAATGCTTACCTTTTATACCACTGTTGAATCAGATCGAATGCATTAATATTATGAACAGCAGCTACGCTAATTATTTCCCATCTGCTTTTCTGCTGTTATCTCGGGACGCTAGTCCCGAGGTAAATAGCGTTCGTCAGCTCCAGTTTGTATCCAGCCTCTCACGGAGACTTCAGATGCCCCAACACCTGCGATGAGACGACTCGACGCCTGTGAAGAGACGACTCAACGCCGGCGATATGTTATGCCCTAAATTAATACATGATGATTAACTAACTATATTCTTCTATGTACATTTCTGAAATGCACTTTCTGTAAAGCTGCTTTGAAACAATATGTATTGTGAAAAGCGCTATACAAATAAATTTGAATTGAATTGAATTGAATTTGCTGATGTCAACGTTGTGGATCGAGTGGCCCATGGTGGCGGTGGGGTTATGGTATGGGCAGATGTATGTTATGTACAACGAACAAAGGTGCATTTTATTGATGGCATTTTGAATGCACAGAGATACCGTGACGAGATCCTGAGTCCCATTGTTGTGCCATTCATCCACGACCATCACCTCATGTTGCAGCATGATAATGCACGGCCCCATGTTGCAAGGATCTGTACACAATTCCTGGAAGCTGAAAACATCCCAGTTCTTGCATGGCCAGCATACTCACCGGACAGGTCACACCAGATACAGTTTTCTGACCCCCCAATACAGTAAAACTGTACATTTTAGAGTGGCCTTTTATTGTGGCCAGCCTAAGGCACACCTGTGCAATAATTATGCTGTCTAATCAGCATCTTAATATGCCACACCTGTGAGGTGGATGGATTATCTTGGCAAAGGAGAAGTGCTCACTAACACAGATTTAGACGGATTTGTGAAAAATATTTGAGAGAAATAGTGTATATAGAAAAAGTCTTAGATCTTTGAGTTCAGCTCATGAAAAATGGGGGCAAAAACAAAAGTGTTGCGTTTATAATTTTGTTCAGGGTATATTGCTTATAGTTAATTAATATAACTAATGTTAACAAATGAGAGCTTATTGTATTTGTAAGCACAAACGGCAGTTTTAGTCATTTTGGTTTCAACATCCTCATCTGGCTGTGCCTGTGTGTGTCACAGAAACGTGGGTAGGAAACACTCATCTGTATTTAAGCAGTGGAAGTTCCTCATCCTAACACTTGAATGCTCAATCACGGCTGAAGACTCTTCTGAGCATCCCAGAAAACACTCTGACGACTGTCATCCTGAAACTATTTTCTACAGTCTTTCAACAGGTAGGCCTTTTTCATTATTTTTATTACAAAACGCAGTGAGTCCAGAAAATACATGCTTGAGTATAAAAATATATACAACATAAAAATATTGCTAGGTAATGTGATAAACCTCACCTCTGCAAACTTGAGTCGTCTTACTACATCCACTAAAAATCACCAGTTGATAATCATTGCAAAAAAAGTTTTGTTATCTAATGCAATGAAACGCTGCGTATATAGTTACAAAACAGTGATCTGGATAAAGTGGATTCAGCAAAGACAAAATGAAGAGTAATGTCTGATGTTGTGTTCATGCAGGATCCCTGTGCTGAGATGTGTGTCGGTCACTGCTCCAGGTGTGTGGGAATGGCTCTGATTCCAATAGCCATCGTCTGCATGGTGGCAAATGTGCTTCTGCTGTTTCCAGACATGAAGTCTCAGTACCTGACAGAGCGTCATGTGACCAGAGAGGCCATGTGGTGCTCTGGGATATGGGCATCTGGCCTTCTGGTGAGTTTCCCTTACACTAGCCGTGAAGCTTTTCTAGTCCTTTATTAGTTGTATAGCTCTAATACTGTTTAATAACATGATAAAGACATTTTTGTTTTATAATAATAATAATCAATATGTATATTATAATACTTTATAATAATAATTATTATTATTCAAATGCACTAATCAATAATGCACTTAATAAGTTAATATACGGTATGCACTTAATATATACACAACAATATACAGTAGTCAACATTTGAAGTGGATCAAAAAAGTTAATCAAAGTTGTCCTAAGAGAAGAACTATATAACTATATATATAACTATATAACTTTGATTAAATGTTTTGATACACTTCAAATGTTGACTACTGTAGTTGTTCCTCAATAAGGTTTTGTTATTGTTCTGGTTTCAACATCCTCATTTGAAAGAGATTTTGTCTTTTTTGTCTTGAACTGTTTCAGATCATCATGCAGAATCATCACTGTCACATAATGCAATTGTATTTTACGTCAAGAAAAATGTGATTAAAATAAAAATTATTAGTTATTAATATATTGAATAGATTTAAATGAATAAAATGAAAATGTAATTAAAATTAAACAAAAAATAAATAATAACAATACATTACTACAGTGAGTATAATATAATAATTTAACTGAAACTAATAATATTATTTTTTTCTGTGTATAAATTGGGTGTTTATAAAAGACAGATGCCGTATACATTTTAGGATAGGGTCTCTCACACAGGGATGATCATATTTGGGGGTCCATGGCATCTAAAAGATTGAAAACCCCTGCATTAATCAATAATGCACTTCATATATACACAATAACATATATACAGTTGTTCCTCAATAAGGTTTTGTTATTGTTCTGGTTTCAACATCCTCATTTGAAAGAGATTTTGTCCTTTTTCGTCTTGAACTGTTTTCCGATCATATGCTGAATCATCAGTGGGGTTTCACTGTCCCATGACGCAGTTGTATTTTACATCAAACAAGATTGCCCTGATGACGGTTGTGTGTTTTGTCAGGTTCTTGTGGCTGCTCGAGGCTTCACAACACATTACGAAAAGACAGGATGCTGTTATTTTACTGCTGAGGTAAGACAACCAAGTTTTTTTTGTTTTTTTTTTTAACCATGATGATCATAATGAGGCTTTGAACAAATATCTTGTACTAATGATGTAAAATCACTGAACACATTTTTGGGGGGATTTCTTTGACAATTTTTTAGGAACTATCCTGAGTTTTCTTGTCGTGTGTCCAGGTTTTGCGTAAGTTGGGGTACACGTGTTTGGCGATTATGGCAGCGGGGTTGTGTTTCGTGGTCAGTGGGATAGGGCTGACGCTGGGACCCCTCTGTTTACACAACGGCACTGAAGGCCTAAAGTGGGAACGGCCATTAAAACCAGTCAAAAGTGGGTGAGTAAGGCCTGAGATTGTTATATTCTTTCACCGTGTTTACAAAAATCGGTAACTTGCTATTATTTATTCAGTAGCCAAAATCGTAAACATTGGTATAGTTATTTCACTGAGAAACAAATCAGATGTGAAACAAACCTGATGTGACCGACATACTTTTGTGAGCTCAATTTAACGTCAAGGCCTGTTCACACCGGGACGAATTTCGCGCGTGATATTCGCCGACGTTTAACGCCTCGTGACTAAACAAAGGGCGCCTATGTGAGTGTGCACACCGACACGAAAAATTCCACGCGTAAAAGCGTCATTTTTTAAAAAACGCCTCGGGTTCGTTTTTTTTGTTTGACGCACCGCGTCAAAAACGATCCGACCAATGAGATTGGCGCTTTTGCTCACGTGTCTGGAGCTTCTGAAGTTACAGTAAAACACAACTTGGGGGCGCTCAAACACAAAACGGTCTTGCCGAGCACACATACGTAATGGCGAAGAAGATGCGCCAAGTAGCGTCTACACACCATAGATATCCATAATAAAGGCTAGATGTCTCGTCCGCGCTGCTGGCCAATGGCCTTTATTATGGATATCTATGGTCTACACTGCCGGGAAGAAATAAGACAAGGAAGATGCAAGGCAAGATGAATGTAGAGCTGCTGGTCTCGTTGGTGTCGGAACATAAAGAACTATATGACAAACGCGACAGCGACTACAAAACTCTTGATAAAAGAGAATGTTATGGAGTGGTATTGCAGAGCAAATGGGCGCCATCTAATGTCAGGGAATGAATTTGCATGTTCACTCGGCTCATCGTCAGCGAAAATCGCTTGGGTGTGAACACAAAAAAACGCGCCGATATTCGTCCCGGTGTGTACGAGCCTTTACAGTATTACATAACAAAAATGCATAACCTTTTATTTCTTTTCACACAAAAATGATGATTGTATCGAATATTATTAAGACTTTTTGTGTGGTTCTTTGCACAATATGACCTTAAAACACTTTTTACCATAGTACATAGTTTCTAATCTAATACATTTTGACATTTGCATCACATAATCAGCTCCATATGTATGGCTTTTCTGACACACTTGCTCGGTAACTCACCTGATGTAATACTGTGATGGAGCGCTTTGAGTGCAAGTCCCGTAAAACTCGAGGGTGAACGTGATTTCACCAAGTTCAACATGTTCCTGACCTGGATCAACATCTTTGTTGATCCTGGAACAACATTCCAATCGACAAATCAGATTTGAGGGACAAGTTTACAGTTTAAATCAAGTTTTGACTTACAACCAGTTGTAACCAGTTGTCAGGTCCTTCTACATCAGTGTCATTCACCTCTCATTTCCCTCTGATTTTAGGGATATGTTTTGGGTAAAGTTAGGTTTAGGGGTAGGGATAGGGTTACGACTACATTTTCGGACAGGGAATGTTGTTCCAGGACACTTTAAAAGTGATGCAAAGTAATATCATTTTGCAGAAATGTCGCCATGCATGTTTTTCCAATCAGCCTGGGTTGCAACAGTTAACATTGATACGCTGTGAAAATTCAGTGCACTTTAGCATAATGATATTTGATGTAAATAAATGCTGACCGTGATCCTCTGTGTCTGTTAATGCAGAGAGTATCTTTACCTGTACGATCCGGAGCGATGGGCATCGGCGTGTGTGGAGCCTCGAGGTGTCGTGATCTGGAATATTGTTCTTTTCTCTGTCCTCATGGCAGCGAGTGGCCTTGAGCTCGTCTTCTGCCTTCTGCATCTCCTCACCGCCGCACTGGAGCTCATGTTTGGACCGGGCTTCTGCAAGAATAAGGTACAAATGTTTACAAAGAGCCTTCTCTTGTAGTGTACTTCAAATCTTCCTTTTTTATACTTAAAAAAAACCCTGTAATGTAATATTAATGACATAAAAGGCCACTTAAGTGTATTAACGAGTTCACTTTCATGACTCTTAACACACTAAAGGACACTTTTAAGTGCACTTTGTAACAATGTCAAATTAAAAGTTTTACATTTTAATTCATTGTTTTAATGAAATTTAGTAACAGTACTTGATATTACTTTTAAAGTTAATTTATGTGTTATATACTATACATCATCATTACAAATGTGCAATTACAAATGTTTTTAAATGCATGTCATAGAAGTTTCAATTCAAATTATTTTAAAGATAAGATAATTGCATTTTTATAGCAATTTATAGCAATTTTGCATTTTCTACAGCATTAAAAAAAAACATTAACCACTTTTTTGTTCTCTTTTTAGGTTGTTCCTGCTTGAAATGACTAGAGGTTTTGTTATGTTCATCTGCATGTGAGAATGACATTTTTTGGAGGTTAAAATGTCAGCTATGACTACTTAACTTATTTTAAACAGAGAAAAAATAGAAATGAGAAGTGGATTAGGAAAGTCAGTTTTCACATCCCCGAATCTTTTCCACCAACCATGTGCCTGTTGCTCAGCTGGTTCAGCATAATTCTGGACAAATATAAATAAGCTATTTAAAATATATACATATATGTGACTAATATAATGTGATATATTCTCAGAACGCACTTTAATCTGTATACACTGTAGGAATGTGAGTAATTTAATGAACAGTATATGTATGTGATCAAATACTGGGTTTATATGTTAATACTGAAATGCTGAGTGTCAATGGATGTTCTTGATTTCTACAAGATTAATATCGAATTGATCTAATTGTATGAGCGATTCTGTGTGTAAAAGAATTCATCATTTATTAAATGTATTTTAATAAAAAATGCAAGCAGCACACTTTTGAAGAAAAAAACACATTTCACAAAATTCACAAAAAAATGCTTTTGATTTTTAACATGGTAGATTCTGTTCACAATTCATACTGTGAAACTGTGTTGTCATAAAACCGAAAAACCCTCATTCACAGACATCTGACACAACAATGTTGGACTGGACACGTCAGCATATTTAAAGCTGCTTTAGTGGCCACAAGAGGGCCACATATTTCACATATTCTTTACATCCATACTAATAATACTGTGGATCTGCCAAAATAGTGAAGTGGTTCTCACTGCAGAGTCAAATGATGTCCAGCTCCCCCTCTGGATGGAGTTTGACTTTATTAGGTAGGGTTATGTGTAGAGTTAGTGTGTGTGTGGCTGGACCTTCAAGTTCGACCCATTGACGCTTCAGTGAGCAGCCTCTAAAATAGTATGTATTGTAGTACATTATTGCTATATAGGCCACATACGCTTTTGCATATAGTTTGTGCTTGCTGTTAATCATTCGGAACTTAGCAAACTGGCAGCTCCAGTTATTGAAACTATGTATAAACCTTAATCAAACAATTTAATGATAATTTAAAAAGGATTTTATACCTGTATGCTGATTATGATTATGCTGTAGCCACATTGGACCAGCGGTTTGGAAAATAGATGGATGAATGATTCAGTTTCGGGCGCTATCTTCTGGAGAGACAAATTCATTTGATGCGTGACTCGCAGTGCATTATGGGTATTATCTAGCCGTTGCGCGTACATCGGGTTGCTTCTCAATACTCAAATTGATGCTTCCTCGTTTCCCCGCTCCTTCGTCCTCCAGCCTGTGACCCGGAAACTGATCAAAGTTTAAGATATACCATGTGCAAACTCATAAGTCACCACCATTGCTGAGTATTTCCTACTTTAAACTGCAGTGAACCAAAGACAGTCTCAAAAACACGGTTTGAAATCGCTGGTGTTTCTGACGTCACACACTACCTTGTAACCAATCAGACATGTGATCATCAACGAGTGGATCTCTGAGCTGGAGTGAGTGAGTGAGTGGAGGTGGGGCTCATTTGCATATTCATAGAATATGTATACTAAATGAGGCAAGGGTGTAGAGTTACATACAAGATATTTTAAGACATGAAGGATTTTTTTTTCAAGGAAAGCACGTTTAAATATGTCATTTTGGTGATCAACGATGAGTTTTAAGGGATGAGATTATTGACCACATAGGGACTTTAAATATTTGAATATGCAATAAAGTTCACAGTTGTATAGAGTTATAAGAGATACTTAAACTGCTGCATTAGTGTTGAGCATCATTGTCTTATTAATGTAATTCTAATGTCAGTGAGTTACAGTCTTTATTTGGTCTAATAGTCTACATTGTTCTTATTTTCTTTGACATCATGCATATATCTGGGGATTGTGTAATGTGAGTTTGTTGAAAAACAGTTTCACTTTCATATGAAGTCACACCGCAGTCATTGCAACACACAGTGAGATGAAATCGAATTTCTTGTTGTGTTTGTTGATTTCACAGGATGTGACTAACATAAAAGTCTCTTCTATGTGTGCAGCATCACGGTTATAATTGCCCTCCTAGATATTGATCATTTTATTAGTATGGCGACATGGTGTGAAAATTAAATTAATAATTTAGTATTTTTTTTAATTATTATTTACAAATAGCAACACCTGAAATAGACAACTACAAATTTACGAACAATGGAAATATTCTAATGTCATTCCACTTAGGCTACTTTTCTAAAACTGTGTATTGTAGTGCTTTATGGTGTGATTACAGCTTTAAAAGACAACATAATATTATGTCTAACATGTTAAGTCTTGACTGCAAAAAAGTATTGAACATTTCCACCGTAATTAGACCAACACTTTGAATAGAATTTGCATTGCACTTTTCCGGAAAGTGGCGGCTTATAATAGCATTGAGTTGAGGAAACCCCTGCTATGGACTCTCAGGATGTAATCCATAAATTTAGTCTGTCTTATTTGTTTTCTCTACTTCCTCTTTTCCTTCTTATTGTCTCTCTCTGCTGGCATCTCCTCTGTCCCAGCGCTGCACTTTCCTCTCTTTCAAACCTGCTCTGCTTTGGGCACGCAAATATTTCCAGATGAAACACCGTCCCCTCCAGCACAATGAGTGACTCAGAGTACGAACATTATGTTTCTGACAGAGACGAGGGCAGGAACCGCAAAACCAGCAGTCTCTCACATGCAGGACAGCTCCAGCAATCTGACCACAGTCACGCTACAGTTTCCACGAGGCGCTTCAAGAAATACTTCACTAAAACATGCAAATCTCACTCATTCACACTCATGTCATTCCAAACCCATGTGACTGTCTGTCTCCCATGAAAAACCAAAACAAGAAATGAAAAAAGAAAGTTGATGCAACTCTTTTAAAGTTATTTCCTTTTTTTGTGTGTTGCGTGGAAATGACTTTCAAGTAACTGAACTGAACTGAATTTAGCTTTATGTGGGCTGAGCCTCGGGTGCATTTATGTTGGTCCTTGACTCATTTCCTAAAACTGAATGCAAAGCGGACAACTTTAGTCGCAGAGTTGGGGAGAGCAAGAGCTGCAGAAGCGACGGAAGTTAAATAGAAAGAGGAAGTTAAAGCAGACCTATTTAAGATGGTACGTGCAATTTCATTTTTGTACTTTATCTTGCCAGGTAGGCCTACAATAGAAAGAGAACAAGAAACAAATGTGGTTTAGAGGGTTTCAGGAATGGGAACTGGCGTGAGAAGGATTAACTCATGTTTACCCACATGAATAACATATTTCCATAGGTCTGATCATGTGTGCAAACCACAAGGTCCTATTTCTGACCATGCTTGTTACATATGATTCAAACTAGTCACATTCATACTGTCTAGGCACAACGTTATTGATAGTTTAATAAACAATTTCAGATGCTGCTGTATAAATTTATTACAAATGTATATGATTATAAATGATTCAAATGTAAAATATAAGTGTGTAAACAATAATCAACATAAAATGAATATCAATTATACAAAATTACACATTATAATTAACTTAAAATAATGCCTGTATAAGTCTCTTATGCTCAGCAAAGCTGCATTAACTTCATAAAATATACACAGCAATATTGTGAAATAATATTGCAATTTAAAATAACCGTATATTCCCATAATATAATTTTTTTTCCTGTGATCAAGGCTGAATTTTCAGCATCATTACTCCAGTCTTCAGTGTCACATGATCCTTCAGAAATCATTCTTTTATGATGATTTAACGCTTATCAATTATCAAGGTGCTTTGTATTATTAATGTTTTTTTTGTTTTTTTTTGCTGCTTAATATTTTTGTGAAAACTGTGATATTTGTATTTCAGGATGCTTTGATGAATAGAAAGCAGCATTTATTTAAAATATAAATCTTTTGTATCATTATATAAACGTCTTTTCTGTCACTTTTTATCAATTTAATGCATCTTTCTATTTTTTTTTTCTTGCCCCAGACTTTTCAATAGAAGTATATCCAACGCATTCTCATCCTTTGGCGTCATATAGGTGACGCCTGACAAACCGTCGAAATACTACGCACATGGCACCCTTTAGCGTGAATATAACACGCGAAGTGATGGGTAGGTTTAGGTGTGGGGTAGGGTCTGCGTCTCATATTCACGCTAAAGGATGCCAGTCAACTTTATGACGCCTTGGGTTCGCGTGTTATATTCACGCTAAAGGGTGCCATGTGCGTAGTATTTCGACGGTTTGTCAGGCGTCACCTATATGACGCCAAAGGATGAGAACGGGCTGATATATCACAGTTTCCACAAAAATATTAAGCAGCGAAACTTTTCAACATTGATATCAACAAGATATCAGCATATTAGAATAATTAAAATATGATATAAATTATAAATCTAAATCCCCAAATAATATAATATAAATTATTCTGTATCTGTTAAAGGGATAATTCACCCAAAAAATGTTCCAAACCTGTATGTCTTTGTTCTGCTGAACACAAAGGAAGATATTTTGAAGAATGCTGGTAACCGGACAGTTGATGGACGGGGAAAAATACTATAGTAGTCAATAGGGCCCGAGATCTGCTTATTCTTCAACATATGTGTTCAGCAGAACAAAAAAAAACATTTATACAGGGTTGGAACATTTTGAGGGTGAGTAAATTATGACAGAATTTTCATTTTTGGGTGAACTATTTAATATAATATAAATTATTGATTTTTTTGGGTGAGGTGAGTTGTAAATATTGAGTTTCTGTGGTGCATTATCCCATGTGATCACTTTTGAGAATGTTTTTAATTATTATTTGTATCGCAGTACAATGTGCATAACCCTATACAGCATTACATTTACTAAAAGCACTTTTGCTCTTGTTGCTCTTTGTCCATTACTGATGCGTTACATAACACCAATGTACAAAGAGCCAACGGTCATATTTCTAAGGAACTCAGGAACAGATATCACTGCAGTTTTTAGGAACATCGTCAGGAGTCAAAGAGCTGTTCCTCTTGGGGGAAAAGCTAACCCAACTTTTGTTTTCGTCTTGTACTGACGTCCCTTCTGAAGCATTGAGCTTCACTCCAGTTGACACACCTGATGTGGTTCAGCACCAAGGACAGAGTCTGACAAACAGAAACACATGAGCTTTAGACCAGAGGAAGTCAACAAATCACAAGATTCAGCTTCTGTCACGTTAGGAAGGATCGTTTGACTCGTGTTACTGTAAATCCAAACACTCAACAGACACTGAAACAATTTCCAATGCACATATTTTCACTTTCAGTTTTCACAAAAACAAACACAAGGTCCTTCAACATTC